TGCTGGCTGCTTTCTACTTTAACTTTACTGAAAACCCAATTCATCGTCTCTTCTGGTTCTTCTTGTTCATGATGAGTTTCTGGTTTTTTCTCTGGAAAGTTCATGCCCAGTTCAATGGCCTTCTCAGCATTGTCATTTTTTGTGTCAACGAAACAAGGTTGTGGTTTTTTAGGCTCCTGTAGGGATGTTTTGGTCATTTGGAGGGAAGCCATGTAGCATCTATGCAGTTTTGCTGTCAAAGTTGCTGACAGAAGCTTTGAGGCTGAGGACTGAGATGCATTTGGGTTATAAGGGAAATTGGTCCTTGCCCTTGGTCCGCACATAAGCCTTGCCGCTTCATCATAAGCTCTGGCTGCGTCTTCAGCCGTTTCAAATGTTCCTAGCCAAATTCTAGTCTTTCTGCAAACACACACACACCAACAAAAAAACGTTTCTTTCAGTTTCCTTGTTAAAATGCAGAAACGTGTATGTATGAACAATTATTAAACGTTTTTGAAGCAAAGTTTGGGTGGACTTACAATAAAGGGTGGCGGATTTCAGAGACCCAAGAGCCCCAATGCCTTTGTCGTACACCTCGAAACCGCTGTTGCGGTCTTGCCATTGTTGTGCAAAAGAAACGTTTCTTTTAGAAAGCGTTTGTGAAAATGCCTGTGGGTGGGTTGGGGTGCAATGAAAGCTTTGAGAGAGGAATGAATGCTTATGCCAGTGGGAAGGTGGGGGGAGGAGAGATTGGTTTTTGTAGTTGGGTTTTGCTGACAGATATAAAGACAATTTTGGAGGCTCTCTTTTTTCTAACCCTCCCTCCTGGCAACAGATTAAGAACTTGGGTCCCACAAGAGTTTTGGCTCCTTTTTGAGTCTTCTTCACTCTATTTTTCCTGTATCTTATTAGTTACCAGTTGGCTTGCAACTGATGATTATTGAATAAATATGTCAAGTGCAATTTCAAACTGGACCAAACTCAATTCACATGACCATGCTAATAATTTTTGTCTCAAAGAAAACATTATAAACTTTAGATTTATAATTCAGTTGCTTTTTGGGCCTTCTATTCTTCAAGAAAATCTAAGGTCACAGTCCCACAGATTCTTCATGTGACTGAGTATGCTCTAAGCACAGGAGATGACAAACACTGATCATGTATTTTACATTTATTTATCGCAATAATTACAGAGTATTATAAGAACTGGGAACCCTTTTTTATTTATAATTGTTATGAACATATATAATATTCATTATTGTAATTATAATTTTTTTTTTAAGGAATCTTGGAATTTCAGTTTCATGTATTGCTAACATGCTCTGTTCTGAGCACTGATTGCTTCAACGCAATGATCAAAACAGAGGTTGCATGCTCTGTTCTGGATGGGTAAACAATTAAACAGTTAAATAACCATCGATTGGCACCAAAATGATTGGGTCAATCCTAATAATTACCCGAGCTAATTATTAATTAACAATCCTAATCACATAAACCAAATATTCTTCACTATTTTAAGAATCAATTTACACTAATTAGAGAAATACCAACTTGATAGTTGTCATATTGATTGTACGGCTCTGTATCTTCATTGAAAAAAATAAAATATGGATTAAAAACTAGGGTGATGATGCATGCAAACACAAGGTAGAAACAAATAGAATCAATGGATCAATCTGCAAAATAAATATATGGTGGGGGTGACTGGTGAGGTCATGGTTCATGCCACTTGGGTTTTTGGCGTTGGGTGCCAAAATCGGATACATTGGCATATGGTTTAAAGCAAGAGCAGACAACCAACCAATGTCTGTTTTTGAATTGCCGTGCCCAGTTTCTAAAACCTGGACCTTCCATGCTGAGATGCAGGGCAAGCTTGTGAGTTGATGACATGAGCTGCCAACTGCTCTTGCAGGTTTTCTGCAAAATATCCAATGGCTTGCACAAGATTAGTGTAAGATTAGTTTAACTTGTTTTGGTTTTTGTCTTTTTTTGCACGCGTTTATATGATCTTGTGCATGTGATGCGTATTTTTCCCATATCTTTCTCATGCTGCAGCTATTTAGGACTTTGTGTTTCCTTATTTGGAGGCATCAACAGTGAGCATGCCAATAGAAACCACTTGTTTAACTTGCAGATTACAAGTTTGCGTCCTCCAATTTACAATGTTGGAGTCTAGATTGTGTGCGTGTTGACACGTGGATTGTTTAAACGGCAGATTTCGATGTTAGGGAGACCACATTTTGATGCTATCTAATGTTACCGTTAAGCGTACAAAGACTCTTTACGACATGAAAATAGTATGTAATAACGAGAATGAATAAGGCCTAAAGAAAAAGTGCTGCCTAACAAAAAGGAAATAAAAAAACAGGTCATATCAGTAGGATGAATTCACTGGCAAATACATAGGCTTTTGAAGATTTTCTCACCATGTACCAATTCTACTGCCCTAACGATTTTCGTCGAGCTTGTGTTGAAAAGAAGAAAGATGAGACGACATATTCTTTATGAAAAGGTCGAAGAAACTGCAGAAAGAGCAAGACAAAAAAGACAAAAGAACAAACAGCATGTAAGCATGTATCTCCCATAATCAAAAGATTAAAATCTTTGTCACAATCCTGGTTTACAGCTAACCTCCCCTTTAGACTGAAATCGACATTTTAATACGCGGGAGTTTGCGGGGCCCAGTTATAAAAGCGCGTAATGTGGGGCCCAAAGATACATATCATGAACATGGGTGATGAGAGCAAAGTTGAAGATGAAGCAGAAGCTTGGGGGGGATGGATTGGATTTGTTTGTCGTGAAACAAACTGAAAACCTCCCACGGTTTTTAAGCCCCATGACTCGGTCCAGTCCATCTCAATTGTCAATTTTGGACAAACACTCTCCAAGTCACATGCAAAAAACAATCCAATATTTGATCCATTGAACAATTATAATAAAAGGTTAAGAAACAACAAAAATCATTCAGAAAAATCATGTGTGTGTTGGGTGTTGGCCACAGAAACATTGAATTTAATTTCTCAATCAATCCCAAACATTATATGCGTCATCTCTTTTCATATGTTACTATCGGAATGACAGGTAATGCAACGAAATTTGATATGACAATATTTTAATTGAATGATCCAAAAATGAACACATTTGTCAAATACGAATGTTAAAAGTCGAGGTGAGTCTAATACTTTCAAATTTTGTAAATTTTGACGCGGTTACGTATTAGGAAGAAAAGAATCGGTGAAGTAAATTAAGGTCATGCATTATATTTTTTAAATCAAAAAATTAAGATGGATGTTGATAGGTAGAAATTTGTGTCGTCCAGCTTCAAGTTATGCCCGCAGTACATGGGATTTGTCACTCTACTATCATTTGCATGCCATGAAAAGGGTCATATATGTCTATGACCATGACCATGTTTATGTTCATGTGGATAACTAAACTCTATAACAAATACACCCACAATTAAAAATAGTAAAAAGGGGGATTCGAGATAAAGGCTAGTAGAGGACTAGCTAGGCAGTGTAATTTTGAATTTACCCCAACCCAATAAAAGGGTAAAACAAGAGCAGTTGCTAGATACAGTTGAAAATTTTGTGCAGATGGGATAAACTAGAATTAGAAGGTATCTATAGACTTATTAAACTTGACTTGATATATATTGGTGTATTGGCCCACACAAGTTAGTCAAAGCTCAAGCACATGCTGCTGCACTGTGTGAATTGCGTAGAAGGGAAATCAAGGCATGTGGGTCAATAGCTTCGATACATATTCAATCAAATTTACAAATTTGGTTGAAGAGTATGAGTCCCACGTCGGAAACTTGACTAAATAAAGTACAAAATATAATGAATGGTTCTACTACTAATAACACCGATCCCTTTTGTTATAAAACTCCACACTTACTAGGTTTTGTAGGTGATTAAGTTGCGGACAATATCGCTGTTGCTAATAGTGGGCCAATAGCCCATCTCTCTGCATTTAACAATTTTTACTCTTTTTTTTCACAAATTTATTTTAACAGTTAGATCACTCTGTTATTATAATGACTCTTTATGGTTAGTATGTATTGATTCTTTGTGGCGGGCGGTTTTTTTGACTGAATTACGAATGCAATCCCCTAATTTTAAAATTTTTTTTAATTAAAAAAACAAAGTTTGAAACTTTCGACCATTCATTTGGACTTGATTGTGGGGCTAAATTGTGATTGATAGTTGTAGGCCTTGGAGTAAAAAGAAGGCAGATATTGGGCTTCTGTAATAAGCAGACTCTTACTAGAGTTTTGGGCTTTTGAAATTGGAAACTATCCAGAATTCAATATTCCAAGTTCCAACAATGGGGAAGGCCTAAACAATTCTGTAATTTATTCGAGAGTAGCTAAATAGTCAAGTGCCTCTCAGATTATTATCTCAACTTGGCAATGCCAGCATTAATTAGCAACCATTTAAATGCTTATTCCTATTTCAGTCTTAAATGAGATTGCGTGAACATGTTTTTATCTTTTCTTTTTCTTCTTCTTTGCCAATCTCATTGCCAGTAGAAAGAGGCAGACAAATGGTTCAGTACACGCCTGCTTGTTCAAGGCTTTGTCCTCCAGGTTAGCTTTTTATGTTTTGTTCATTTTGTAGGTAACCAAATGTGCTACATTCTGCCAATGGGGTTTAGCTGCGGTTGTTTGGCAGCCGGGTTCGAAACCCCACTGGCACCCGGGTTTGAAACCCCCCTATGTAACCAAAAACTAAAAATGTGCTACATTCTTATCATAGCTTTTGATTGTTTTGATAACTGAACTTATCTGTTAAGAAAATTATGGAGTTCGTTTTGCCAGTGTTTATTTTATTTTATTTGTTTTATTTTTTTTTTAAGTGGGAAACAATAAGTCCTAACTTGAACCCTACAATGCATCAAATGAAAATACAAAGGCATGCAAATGCAGTAACTAGGTTTCAGTTTCATGGTTGATCTCCTTTACTTTTTTTTTGATATAATGATATCTTATTCGTCTTTGAAATTTTTGGGATTGCGTAATGCTACTACTTCAAGTGCCAGTGAAACCAACCCCACATTGCAACTTAATCAAGAAGAAGCCCTTGCCGCAATATTGTTCCAGAAACTTATCGTCTCTAGCCACCAATGCCAATCCAAACTATGATAAGAAGATCACAGTGACCACCAGAACAAACCCTAGTAAAAGATTCAAGAAATTTTATTGCCAACCTGTTTGTTTTCAACATGGGGGTTATGCTTCATCATCAAAACCAGAGAATGACGGTGATCATTTTCTGACTGGCCTTTGTAAACAATGGGATGCATTTCATCGCTTTTGTCGTCCTCACACTGTAATTGGCACTGTGAGTTTCACATGTTCCTTTCAAAATTTGATATAAATTACATTTGGATTGAACAATTTAATTTTGAGCTTCACTAATTCACTCATTTTTTTTGTTTTCAGGTTATAGGAATCTCATCGGTCTCTCTTCTTCCATTAGAAAATGTTACTGACCTGTCCTCTGCATTTTTTATAGGACTATTGAAGGTATTTATATTAGAAAATTCGAAACACTACTGTTTGATGCCACAGGTAAAATGGGCTTCTTACATGTGATTGTTTTTTCAATGATTGATCATATCTCTCAGGCATTGGTGCCATCGATCCTGATGAACATCTATGTGGTGGGATTGAATCAATTGTTTGATATTGAAATCGACAAGGTATAAAATTAAGTGAGACCAAATTGAAGGATGAAAAATACTGCATATATATATAATGTTCATTAATTTTGTATCGTTTTTTCTTGCTTCTCAGGTTAACAAACCTGAGCTCCCTCTTGCTTCTGGTGAATTCTCTATGGGAACTGGGATCACAATTGTTTCCACAGTTTTGTTGATGGTAATCAATTGCCACTGATATGAGACCAACTAGTGTTTCTACAGTATAAATCTCTGCTACTCACTAGTTGTTGTCTGTTATTTTTCAGAGTTTTGCCATGGGAGTTATGTTTAAATCTCCGCCGTTGTTTTGTGCCCTTCTCATCAGTTTTCTGCTTGGAAGTGTTTATTCCATTGAAGTGAGTTTCTTGTGCCTCTTCATATAGTCTCTGACATTGCTAGCCAAGTACCCACCTTACTTCATCCATCTTAATTTGTTGATTAGCTTCCTTTGCTGCGGTGGAAGAGACATGCATTTCTTGCTGCTACTTGCATCCTAATTGTGAGGGCCATCGTTGTCCAGCTTGCTTTCTATGTACACATCCAGGTAACATACACCGGTTAGTTTTTATTTTTATTTGAAGAAGCCAAATATTTGACAAAACTAAAGCAGTACAAATATGTATTTTGCAGAAATTTGTACTTGGTAGATCTGTTAAGATGACAAGATCCTTGGCATTTGCGGTGGTTTTCATGTGCATCTTCTCCTCTGTTATTGCGTTATTCAAGGTAAACAACTGCTAAACTAAAAAAAATATGAACCTCGAGTGAGGGGTAATTTGTCCTTGGCATTTGAACAGGATATACCTGATGTGGATGGTGATAGATATTATGGCATTCAATCCTTCAGTGTCAGCCTTGGACAAGAAAAGGTTACTAGTTTTTCCATTTTTCTTTTTCTTTTTCTTTTTCTTTTCTTAGGACATATATATATATATACATTGTGTATACTTCTTAATATATGCTCCTTCCTCTGTACACTGTATACAGGTATATTGGTTTTGTGTAAATATGCTGTTAATTGCATACGGGGCTGCCCTGGTGGTAGGAGCTTCTTCTCCCTTCCTACCTAGCAAGCTTTTTACTGTATGTGTACCCCCATCTCTTACTCTAACTTCTACTCTGCTAGCTATTAATTGTACATGTTTTACTGATATATAGGCTTTGGTTGCAGATACTAGGCCACACTGCACTCGCTTCCCTTCTTTGGCTCCGAGCTCGATCTGTCGATATAGCCGATAAAGCCTCTCTAACTTCTTTTTACATGTTCATCTGGAAGGTGACGGATTTCTTACTCTTACCATCTGTCTGTTTTCTTTGTGTTCATGATAAGTAGCACATGCATGTGTGACATTATACAAGCAAATGTGCATAAGAATTTGGCACTGACTTAAAAATATGTTGGCTGTAGCTCTTCTACGCCGAGTACTTGCTCATTCCTTTTGTACGCTGAGTTGAGAATATGAAGAAGAAGAATTGTTGTGGGCTCTGGAAAATTTCATACACTACTGCTCTGCTTCTCTGTCATCATCATTCATCACAACTAGCTTTACTGGTTTTCTTGTGTTCGGTCCACGTCACCAAACCAAACGCCCAAAAAACAAATATTATTTTTTTCTCTTTACAACTATTTATTCATTTATTGTTTCCATTATCCATATGAAGTTATGAACGGGCAAAATCACCCAAAAATACATTCCAGTTCTAAAGCCATCACTAAAATTGCACTACGGAAAATGTTCTACAAGAGTAAAGTTTTTATATAAATTATTTATATTATTTATATTCAATAATATGTGAGAATTATGTGTATAATACGTGATTTTTGTGTGTTTTATTGAAATTTTTATACAAAATGTGTATTAAACATGAGAAATACGTGTGTATCTATATAATACGAGTATTGTATGTTTGCTTTTTAAAAACATGAACTTAACTGAGTCCTTAAGACGTTTGTAGAACACATATGTATTATTGAAAAATATGTACGTACATGTATAATACATTATTAACCATGAGAGTGCTAAAATCTGTGTACAGGTAATAACTCTGAAAAAGTAAAAAATCAAAAGAGGACAATAAAGACTCGAGTAATGGCCTAATAGTAATGGATAATGCTCTAAACAATTCTAAACAACTCTTATCATTAATAATAATTATATTAATCAAAGACTTGGGCCTTGGGGCTCTCGGGCTATGGAGAAATTTATTTAAGATACCCAAATGACTTAATAAATAGAAATGAATTATTTTAAATTACTTTGTGGACTTTTTTTTCAATTTTTTAATATATTAAATAATAATTAAAATATAATTACTAATTAAAGTAATTCAAAAAGGCTAAGATATTACTTAATTACATTTTTTTTTAAATTAAAACAAAAAAACAAAAAACCTCTCCAGACGAAAGTAGCCGGATTAAATTTTTTTCAAAAAGAGTATAGCCGCGCGGCTATACTGTTTATATATATAAAAGGACCCGCCAAGCGCCTAGGCGCCACATGTCAAAACGGTAACGCCGGCGGCTATACTATATTTTTTAAAAATTAGGAAAAACCGAGTACAGCCGCTCGGCTATACTATTTCGAAAAGAAAAAAAAAGAGATGACCCGCGTGTCAAAATACGTATAGCCGCACGGCTTTACTATTTTTAAAAAATAAAAAAACCGGGTATGTCCGCCCGGCTATACGATATATATATAAAGGAACGCCCAGTGCATATATATGTAGCCACGTGTCAAAAAAGTAACGCCGCCCGACTATACTATTTTTTAAAACAATTTGAAAAAACGCGTATAGCCGTGCGGCTATACCATTAAATTAAATTAATGAAGCTGGCCAAAAAAACAAAAGTCGAGAAACTAACTTTATATATATTTTAAAATTAAAACAAAAAACAAAAACATCTCTCCCGATGAAAGTTTGTTGGCACAGGTCTATGTCAGCGAAATTTGCCCGGCCATACTATTTATATATAAAAAAAGGACCCGCACATTGCCTTGGCGCCACGTGTCAAAATGGTATAGCCATGCGGCGATACTATTTTTTTAAAAAAATTAGGAAAAACCATGTATAGCCGTTTAAAAAAAATTAAAAACATCTATTTATAAAAAAACAGAAAAGGGCCCCGCCTAGCGATTGTCGCCCACGTGTCAAAATAAATATAGCCGTGCAGCGATACTATTTAAAAAAAATAAAAATAAAAAAACCCGGCTATACTACATACATATATAAAGGACCTGCCCAGCGCCCATACATATATAGCTACGTATCAAAATAGTAACGCCGCGCGGCTAGACTATTTTAATTTTGTTTTTGAAAAAACGAGTATAGCCGCGCTTGAGGAGTGAAATTAAACCCTCACGAATCTTCCTACACATTGGCGATGGATTAGAAACCAAAGAAAAAATAAAAAAAGAAAGACATTGAGGCTTGGAAAACCTTCTACAGAAAGCAACATATTATGCTAGGCCACATATAATCTAGCCTTTACACCAACATGAACCGACCTAGAAACTGGTTTTTGGTTTGGGCCACACCTTTCTGTAGAAAAAAGAGCACGGTCAAACTATCAGGCCCACTATCTTCACTCCTTGGGCCAGTGAAACTACGTTGGTCAGTATCCTAGCTACCCAGCAGCTCATTCCAACTTTGCCCTTCCTTTATATTAAAACCAAAAAAAGGTCCGGTCTTTCCTAGTCGTCCAGAAGTGCGTTTTTGTTGTTAGGGTTTTCGCTCCTTGCTCTCTGCTCTGAAACATCGCGGCGGATCTCCAAGCGTGAAAATGGTGAACCTCTCTCTCTTCTCCCTTCTTCCTGCTCTCTGGTTACGCATATATGTATTGCATCGATCTTTATATATATCCCTGTTTGTTCCTCTACTTTGTTGATTTCATGGGATTTAAGTAAATTTCTCATTTGGGTTTATGATGAATATGCACAGCCGTCCCACAAGACCTTCATAATCAAGAAGAAGCTGGCGAAGAAGATGAGGCAGAACAGGCCCATCCCTCACTGGATCCGTTTGAGGACCGACAACACCATCAGGTCCAAACTACTTTCTTTGCTTTAATTATTTTGTAATTTCATTGCTAATTTTCATTTTGTTCTTGATCGGTTCTCAGATTAGATGCTTACAAGTTGTCAAATTTGTTCATGTATGTATCAGGTACAACGCCAAGCGCAGGCACTGGCGCCGCACCAAGCTCGGTTTCTGAGGTGCTTTGCTCCAATGGCATTTGGCATATTTTGTAATTTGATTAGGGGTTTTAGTTTTGATTCAGACTCCAGAGCTTAATGTTTTTGTTCTTTGTTGAGAACCCAGTTGTAAGAACTCATAAGAGTCTCTCTATTTGCAGACGTTTATTATGATTTAGCTTCCCTGAATCAATTTCAAGTGTCAAATGAATTCCCAATTCACCCAAATCCTTCATCTGAGGTTGTATTCGTTTGGTTTCTTTCTGCAGGAGAACTCTATGCTAGGGCAAATAATTATGGTTTGTGTTTGATGAGATGAAAAATTCTCCCCATAGCTGATTTACACTGCTAATTTGTATGCTCTTGTTCTTGATTCAAAAACTATTAAGCTATTCAATAGTTTTTTGAACGATCAATAGACAGATTTACGCCGCCCTAACATTTGAAACAACGGTATTTTCTTCTATGTTATGGTGTTGTCTGCCTACACCCAACAATTGAATTAAACTGAAAAAGTTGAAGATGAAATTTCTTCTAGCTGGATAAAGTAAAATGAATCAAGTTGAGAATGTGAGATTTTATCTTCAGATCCCTCAAGTTTCATCTGAAAATGCATGAACTTCAATCTTTACTCTGCAAGTGACACTGACATGTATGTTCGACAAAAATTTGGGGGTTAATTTCAATTTAGTACTTTGAACTTTCACAGTTAAGGTATGTTTGTCTATGCACTCTCAAGTTTAACAATTACGTACCTAATCTTATTAATTTTTTGCAATATGATTCCGGTGTTAACTTAAATAGAGAAATTTTTGTTAATTTGCCTATGTAGCAAGCTTGTGTGCCATTTCGCTTCTTTCAATGTCAGTTAAAGAGTATTTTTGAGTAATTGATGTCAAATGGTTTTGGGCGAGATTTTTTTGTGTCATATGGGTTTGGGAAGGAAGACATTAATTGCTAGAAAATACCCCTAAACTGGCATCAAAAGAAGCAAATAGGTGGGATCCAACCTTGCCACATATGCAATTAACGGAAAATTTGACGTTAAAGTTAAAACCAGAATCATATTGCAAAAATATTAAATGATTAGGGTACATAATTGTTAAAATTGAGAGTGCAAGGGCAAACATGTTTTAAGGTAGAAAGTTTAGGATACTAAATTGAAATTATCCCAAAAGTTGGATTTTGACATTTTATAAAAGTAGAGAATAGAGTTCATATGCGATGAACTTGGAGTATAGTATTAATAAATAAATACAAAGATGTATAATATTAATAAATAGATACACATGTTCGAATTATCTCTTGATAAATTAGAGAAGTTTAGAATATAATTTTGTTAAAAATAAAAAAAATATGTTATGACATGAGAATTAATAACACTACGTTTCGATATCTCTTAACATAAAAAAATTCATCATTAATTCACACATGACCTATTGTAAAAATGTCGTTTTTCTTTTTTTCCCCCACACAAACGAACCACTTCTCATTCAATTTTATAAAGTACAAATATTGAGAAGAAGAATCAAAAATAAAATTTCGGATTATATAAGTAATATTGGGAAGAAGAATCAAACATAGAATCTTGGATATTAAAAAGGAAAGGATCGAAGGTAGCACCACAAATACATGAACAATTACTCATTTTGTTTGTATACAAGCGATAACCGAGCAGCTCGGATACACGTCCCTCCCACTTTACCAATATATAACGACCAAACGCTCACTTTGATTCGCTCGCAAAACCCACTTATTAAAAGGCAGAGTAGTAGCCTGACCTCACTCATTCACTCTCCGTGACAGCTGACGCTGAGGACTCCGCTTCGAATTCAACGCCCTCTATCTGTGAGTTCCACGAAAACGTTCTCATTTCAACTTCATCTCTTCGTCGAATTTCAGCTTTCAATTCATTCAACTCCGTTATCTGAATCCATCTGGTTAATTACGTCATAATCATTATCTCTTACTCTTAGCTATTGATTTGCTCGTAGATCGCGTAATTAACAGTCTTGATTCGTCAATTTTTTTTGCTGTTTTCTTGATTATACACGCAAATAACCGTTTACATTCTGCTTTTGCCTCAGATAGATGGCTTCGACGATGCTTTCGTTAGCTTCTGTGTCTCCCTCAGCTTCACTCTCTACGCATGAGACTCCCAAGGTACCGCTCATTTCATTTCGTAATTAATTGCGACTTTCATGAACGGTTTCGTCCTTTTCTTATCTTTTACTGTTTGGTTGCAGAGAAAGTACTGACTTTCGGCTTAATGCATTGGTGTGATTTTGTTCAACAGGGGAAGGTGAAGCTTGGGAGTTCCTTTTTGAGCTTAAACAAGGGAAGGAACAATCTATTTGCGAAGACAGAGGTACATGCCGTGAGCTGCTATGGCTTTGTTGGAATTTTTGTTTAACATTAATGCTAATGTGGTTTTGCTGTCTTGCCTGTAGTCTTTTGGTCGGATATCTATGGTAGCTGCGGTGAATGTTTCTAAATTCGAGGGCGTAACTATGGCCCCGCCTGATCCAATTCTTGGAGTTTCCGAAGCGTTCAAAGCTAGCACAAATCAGTCAAAGCTCAACCTTGGAGTTGGGGCATATCGAACAGAAGAGCTTCAGCCATACGTGCTTGATGTTGTTAAGAAGGTCGGGTTGCTATCCTTATCTCCTCATGAAATAGATAATTTTTCGCTAATGAGATTTTGAAATCTTGAGTTTCTTATTGTAAATTTTTTAAAGTGAAATCCTTTTATTTTGCAGGCAGAGAATCTTATGATTGAAAGGGGAGAAAACAAAGAGGTAATTATACACAACAATCTAACTGATGTGGTTTGTTCTTCTTGAAATTACGATTTACTAACTGCAGTTCACTTAAACTATGCAGTACCTCCCAATAGAAGGTTTGGCAGCATTCAATAAGGTCACTGCAGAGTTATTATTTGGAGCAGACAACCCAGTAATAAAGCAACAAAAAGTATGTGAGAAATCAGAACTCGTGCCTCTTGTGAAGTTAATCATGTAGTATATCTCTTTGACCTTATATTGGTGTTTTGATTGTTTGTTTTTCCTTTCTTTAAGGTAGCAACTGTTCAAGGTCTGTCAGGAACTGGTTCTCTTCGTCTTGCTGCAGCTCTTATTGAACGATATTTTCCTGGGGCCAAGGTTTTAATATCATCTCCAACCTGGGGTCTGTATCGTCACTCCCATATCATTCTAAGACTTGTCTCAAGATTACTCGTTTTTCATTCCTAACAAAATTGTGTTGCAGGTAACCACAAGAATATTTTTAATGACTCTAGAGTTCCATGGTCAGAGTACCGATATTATGATCCAAAAACAGTTGGTTTGGATTTTGAGGGGATGATATCCGACATAAAGGTAATATAGTTTTGCACAGGAATTTGCATACGCTTGGTTATTAACTTATTACATTGAGTTATGGATTGTTGAAATTGTTACTCATTGATCACCTGGATCTTGAGAACACATGTTTTTGTTATTCAATAATTGCATTTGTAATATATTTATATCTTCTCTCTCTGTTAATATGGAATTATTTACTATTAATTTGTATGCCATTCCATCTTCTAGGCAGCACCTGAAGGATCTTTTGTGTTGCTTCATGGCTGTGCTCACAACCCTACCGGCATAGATCCAACCCCTGACCAGTGGGAAAAAATTGCTGATGTCATTCAAGAAAAAAACCATATCCCCTTTTTCGATGTTGCATACCAGGTACATAGTACTACATACTACTGGCTGGAGTCAAGCTGTAATTTTAGTTTCTGTAGTAATTTCTCTAATGCTGAAATGGAAGTGATAACACTGAATCCTTGGAATGAAATCTCTAATAATCTATTTCATGTTGATAAGTTAATAATATATATTAACGTATGATGGTTTAAAATTCTGTTGAAATGCAGCTGTAGGTGGAGTTATTTTATAATGTTAATGTCTGAACTTTGTCACTCTGCTTTTAGGGATTTGCTAGTGGAAGCTTGGATACTGATGCAGCGTCTGTCAGATTGTTTGCTGCACGTGGTTTAGAGTTATTGGTTGCTCAGTCATACAGCAAAAACCTTGGTCTTTATGCAGAAAGAATTGGAGCAATCAATGTTGTGTGCACATCATCTGATACAGCAACAAGGTGCAGTAGAAACTATACTACACATATTTATCTTCTGGCATAAGACAATGCTCATAATTGCATAATTTACTAAGTAACATGGTTACTTAATTTTCTCTGTTGCTATTTCAAACCCTGTTCTTTGCATTCTGGATCAATTTGTGGTCCAGCACTTGCAATGTGCATCATAGTTTTTCATGTTTTGAAGTCTCCTTCCGGATCTTTTGTATGGTGTTGGATACTGAAATCCTATTTGAGGTTTCATTTGAATGCCTTGGAAACTTGAATCTGCAAACCACTATACCATCTTTTGTGCCTTCTTTCCCTTGGGCCTTGGCTCAAGTTTTAAAGACTTGGGTGGATCCTAGGTTCAACTCTTGTCAAGCAAAGAAAGTAAAAAAAATAAAGAACTGGTTCTTGTAATTTGTTACATTATTGCGGTTACTTGAGTCTGCGATCAGATATAGTGACATAACTGAATTTGTAGGATCTGCTAATGATTTTAGTTTTTATATTCAGGGTAAAGAGCCAACTGAAGAGGATTGCTCGACCTATGTACTCAAATCCTCCAGTTCATGGGGCTAGAATTGTGGCCAATGTAGTTGGAGATCCAACACTTTTTGGTGAATGGAAAGCAGAGATGGAGATGATGGCTGGAAGGATAAAGAATGTGAGACAAAAACTATACGATAACTTGACTGCAAAGGATAAGAGTGGAAAGGATTGGTCATTCATACTTAAGCAGATTGGCATGTTTTCTTTCACAGGCTTGAACAAGGCTCAGGTAATTGCCCCCTGTTAAACTATGATCTAAGTCTATCTATAGGTCTTCGATACCTTGATATGAATTTTGTTCCTAGTCCTCTTCATTCTTGCATCATTCCTTGCACATTTGATCATTTATTTATTTATTTTTATTGACCATAAACCCTGCCCCTAGATTTACATCTGACCTCCTTTGTTTTTGCCCGGTCAGACGGAGAACATGACAAACAAGTGGCATGTATACATGACAAAGGATGGAAGAATTTCCCTGGCAGGATTATCTTTAGCGAAATGTGAATACCTATCAGATGCAATCATCGACTCGTACCACAATGTTAGTTGAAGTAGAATTCATAGCTGCGGTACCAGTTTGAGGAAGATGCTAAGAAAATTTTGTTGAGCTTCTCCCCATATTTAAGCACTTGTGAGCTTGTGTCTATAATTTATTGAGACCGTCTAATAATAATCAGCAGTCGCAGAAAGGAGAGGCATCTCCAACAGCACCGACAAAAGGATAGCAGGAGAAGATCAACCTTTGGGGCTTACCTCTTACCTACCAACACACATACAGAGATTGTAATAATAATAATGTTCATCTCAAGTTCATATTCATGGTCGATATGTTGCAACCTTTATTTATTTCCTGGAAAAAGGAAGTTGCCTGAATTTTATTGAATACATATATAATCATGGAATCATAAAACAAACAAAAACAGCGAAGTCAAAGCACTGCTTCTTCCCAGGCATGAGGATCAAAAATGCCAACGGGGCCACGGCACAGCGAAGAACTTCATGAGCCCCTGATTGCAGTGAGAGCTATTGGCACCCTGGCCACAAGCAAAATAGTGCGGCCTCCACTGGTTCAGCACAAACTCAAACCCCTCGCCGCCTCCCTGCGTAGCATTTGCCACCAACTTTGCCCTCCTGAAATCACATGTTATGTAGCTCCACAGGTTTGGGAGTAAGTACACGTCATGAGCACCGGTGTTGCTTGGTGGGTCGTACTTGAACACTGCACATAAATATGGGATTATGAATTAAGTGTGTAACATTATTCAATAAAAACAATATTAAGTAATTAAATTGAAATTAAACTAAGTAAATGTAGGTTGAGACTGACCAAGTGTGTCTTTTATGTAAAAGGGGCCATTTTTGAGAGTCCAATCAGTGTAGTTGAAGCCATAACGCCAACCTTGAGACCCTCCTACAACCACAGTTTTAGCCTCACCAAGTGCCAATAGAGAGACAGCTACAAGAATCAAAATGAATCCGTGTGAACCGTAACTGAAACCCATGTTCAAATTCCTGATCCTCAACAGGGCACTAAAGAGCTAGAAATCTAATTAATGAGATTGTGGTAATGGGGATATGAGCTGAAGAGGTTTATATAGTGCATTTTGATCGCATGTTCTGAAGCAAATCGGCCACAATTTGCCTTCGTTTCTCACTAGAGGAGCCAGAAAACGTGTAAAAAAATTCATTTTTTGTGAATAGAAAATGTAGATTTTGTCAATTGTCTGGTGCTGTTTCTGGGTTTTCTTCTCCTGTCAATGCCGTTTTTCAAGTTTCATGTACCATTGGATGAGAAAACAAAGAAAGGGAGGGTAGGGGTACAATGGTTGGCGACGAGTGGGTTTATTCTTTAAGATGTTGGCGAAAGTCCACTTACTTAAGGGAAGAAGAAAAACATGTTTATGGTTATGATTAGAGAGGCAATAAGGTCTCTAAAAACAACTGAATGTGGGTTGTTGGTCGTTCTCGTTGGTTGACTTGCTAAAACCTAAAAATTCAATTCAACGGTGATATGTGGGCCCAAGTTATTACCTGGCCCATGAAAATCATCTGGTGGCCCAATATATGTAACGATATACTGAAGCCCAAGATAGCTCATAGAAGAAGTGACCGACTCAGGCCCACCATTGAAATTACACAGATACCTCTCTCTGTCTCTCGCTCTCTGCAACTCCAGAGGCAAGCGATTGAATCTTTGGTACTACAAGGGGTAAGTAGTTATACTTTCTTCGAATATTTCACCATGTTTTATCTTTGTTTTTTTAAAAAGTAATCTAAAGCTTTCGTCTTTGGGGTGTTTTGTTTTCTATCTTCAGCTAGATAGATTGAAGGTAGCACCAAAAATTTTGATTTTGGTTTTGGGGTTTAACTGGGTTTATGAATTTATGGGAACCCATTAACATGCTTGAATTGCAAACCATGAAAAGGGAACTTGAATGCTTTAACGGACAATGCTATTGTTTTATTTGGCTCCATAACCCCCCAATGCTAACTCTTATTCCTTATATCTTGTATCCTAATGCAGTTCACCGCCTCCCCTCGGCTAGTTTTATATCTGCAATTTTGTCAACGTTTCGTCACAAATGTCCATCCATTAGGGTTTGAACTTGAAGTGATTCAGAAAGTGTTAATTCAGGGAGATAAAAAATTTAGAGAGGAAAATGGGTTCTACACCTAAACACCCTTTGTTTTGTCTAAAATGGCCGTGGGACATGAACCAAAATGCTAAAGCTAATACTCGTAGCCCTTGCAACTTTGAGGATCCTTGGCTATTCAAATCTCTGCAAACTATTGGGTCCATTGCCTTCAATTTCGTCAACTCAGTTTCCGGGTCCTCGTTTTCATTGGCCAATACCTTTAAGCCCTCCCAGTTGGATGCAAGAACCAGCCAGAGTAACAGTTTGAAGTCAAAAACAATCTTGGGTCCTGAAGAGCAAGGGGAGGCAGAGCATAGGGCATTTGCCTCAGCTTTAGCAAGTGGGAAAGAGGCTACCGTGGTTGAGTTTTATTCACCCAAATGCAGGCTGTGTAATTCTCTGCTTAATTTTGTTAGGGAGGTCGAGGGTAGGAACTCAGACTGGCTTAACATTGTTATGGCAGATGCAGAGAACTATAAATGGCTTCCCGAGGTACGCTACCACCCACAAGTTTCTCTATTTCTTGATATTGGTTTTGAATGCCCCATTATTCTTGCTCACAAAACACCATTCTATATCTACACGGATGTAGCTATTTTTATTTATGGATTTTTATATGTTAATATGGTAACGTTGATGAACCCATGAAATAATTTGGTATTTTACTAGCTATTTTGCTTGTAATTTTCTTGGGGGTGAAATTGCTGTCTTCATGATATATTCTGGTTTACCTAGTAGACCATTGTCTGATTATTTTTCTCGTGTTGGTAATGCAGCTTCTCCATTATGACGTTAGATATGTTCCTTGCTTTGTGCTGGTGGACAAGAAGGGGAGGGCGCTGGCAAAGACTGGCATTCCGAGTAGTCGGCTACATGTAATTGCAGGTCTCTCTCATCTTCTCAAGATGAAGCGTCCTTGCAAAAAGCAATAGCTAGATCAAATATTGAATCTTCTCATCTATTCAGCATTTTGATAATGAAGCCTAGTTTTCATGAGTTCACAGAACAGATGCTTTGATTACTGCACATCTAAATTGGTCTTAAATACAATTGCCTGTCTAACAGAGTTCTTGAATCACATTCCTCGCCTCGGTGAGGGGATTTGTGTAATGAACTTCTCTGGCCCATATATGTTGCATGGAATGCATAGACATCTCCGTTTCCAGTAGGTTTGTTGTCTTCAAACGCGTGACTGCATTCGAATCCATCATCCTACCAATTACGGTCTGCAAATATAGTAGCTAAATCAATTGATATTTTAACTGTATCGTGAAACCACAGTAATTTAGTTGGAAATGAACTCACCCAAAATTTGCTGAAGCAAGCATTGAAGATTATGAATTTTAGAAGGTTTTCATCATGGCTGCTGAGGGTATTGTCTGAACTCACAGACACAGCGAGATCTTGATAGGAAGAGTCAAACATTGATCCAAAGTTCTTCACCGTAATCCGGTCGTGATTCTTTAAAATTCTCTCGAGGTGGCACATGGTGGCACTACATGCGTTGTCGTCTTTCCTGACCCACTTTAAGGTCCAGCAACTGCTTTCGAAAGCTGACAGTGGGAAGTCTTCATACAGCCTTAGCAAAGTTGCAGCTCTTTCAGAATTAGCCCAGCAACAACATGGGGATGAGCCATCATCTACACATAAGATGAGAGAAAAAGATTATTAACCTGAACAAGGAAACAAGACAATGCCAACAGGAGTACATTGCGATAGCAAATATAATTTTTTTTATAAAAAAAAAGTTATTTTATCTGTTCATCAAGAAAGAAGCTTGCTTCCAAGCGTTGATGATAGTCTGAATTCTTTATCAATACTTACTAAGTATGATAAGCATTAAGTAGTAACAAATGCACCATGCCTTTACAATTTTCCGATGACTTGGCCAACATGCAGAACGAGGGTTAAACATAGCAAAATTTCCTAAATAAACAAATAGATTACCCAGAACAAAACCGGCAAGTGGGATGTCAACAAGATACGGTCTGAAGTGATTTTTAGGTTGATAATTGACATTTCTAAATTTCTTCTCCAGAACTAGGATGTGGATGGCAACAACCTGTACAAATTACAATGTTCATACAGAAGAATAAGCTTCAACCGCCCACAAACAAGATTGTGAAAAGGAAATTGAAAAAAATATAATCATGTAGGGAAGGAAACTAGACAATATACAACTTACCCTGCAATGAAACCGCATGGGCTTGAAATCCAAGCACTTAACCAACTCAGAAATCAAACCTGAAGAAACTAAGTCTAGAGGTGCAGCATTCTGCATGTATGAAGCAGGACTGGAGCACTTGTCGCTGCACGATTCATTATCTACCTTTATGAATTTATTCTGGAAGCTGACAGCCCTTATGGAATTGATTACAATAAATGATACAGATGTCAACATCCATCTATTCTGCCCCCTGGAAACCAAAGAATAGAGGTCAAGCCCACAAATTTGTCACATGATTGGTGCAATACTAAAAGCCTCTAAAGATTATCAGACTATGCCCTTAGACAAGAGAGAATACCAAAATTGCCAAACGATAAATCAGGACTGAAGGATAAGGCAGTATAGTGTCAAGGATTAATTAGACAGCGTACCGCAATTCAAGAACCCGGTGAAATGTTGCATCCACACCAGGTCCAAATCCGACAGGAAAAGCATGTCCACTCAAGGAACCAGATAGCCTTACCTATTTGATTAACATGACGAAATGATATCAAAATATTATTTTATTGTTATTTTCAATGAGACAGAAAAGAATGATACAAATATAGAAATGTTACTTACAATATGATGGTCTACCAAAACATGAATACAACTGCTTTTAGCTCTCTGCAAGAATCTCCGCTGAAGAGGATCACCAATGTTTTTACAGTTCAAATATGGATTAACAGAATTGTCTTCCACACTATGAACAGCAATGACATGCCCACACAAAGATAAAAGATTTCCCTCCGGAAACAGACCGTTCGAATCAAGTGACAGCAGAGGTGCAGTCATTGCAAGACTAATGCATGAAGATATTTTAGGAATCCCTTCAGCTGTCACAACTGGCTTGATCAGGCCCTCTTCCAATTCCTTCAGGATCACCTCTCCAAAACTGATAACATTTTCAGGGAGACAAAGAGAAATATCTGAAGAGTTTTCAGAAGCATTTCCAGGGGACATCTGAAGACGTACTTCGTTATGATGTTCAGACAGAACCTCATCATTTCTCAGAGAGTTATCTAATGGGAGACACTTCGGTGAGCTATTGTTTTGACAAATCTCATCAGAAGTAAACGAAAGGCTCCATAGATGGGTTGTGGAAGGGATAAGAATGTTATCACTGCTGGAATAGCTAGAATCTTTGAGATTACAAAAAGAATCTTCTCTGTCATGCTTTGTGATATAATAACAACCAATATGCAACAACTGAAATGTAAACAAAAATTATTGCAGTTTATTTCACTGAATTATTTACACAAGCATGTCCTAACCATGAAAAGGAGAAATCTGACGCACCTGATACTTATAAAAACTTTCAGATGTAAACTCCAGCAATACCTTCTGTCCACTTGGTCTGCAAAAGCCACCATTATTTAATTTGGTCCTAGTGCAATGCAAGATAACTGAACCAACTAGACTGTGACTGTTAACTCCACTAATCATAGCCGAACAAGATATCTCACGAGATGTCAAGTCACAATATTTCTGTTTCTCCCTGGATTCCTTGTAAGAAATAGAACAAGAACTCGGTTCTCTGACTGACTCGGAGGAATTGTTCACTGAATTAGAACTTAATCCCCTGCTTGATGAATGATTAACCTTACGCCTCTTGGGAGAAACATGGTCCAAGTAATTTCCACCAGCACTTTCCATGGAATTCTTCGGATTATCCCCTAAAGCCATAGTTGGACATGAAATCTCATAGCTTCCAGCAAGAAATAAATCCCAAGGCAAGATTATAGCCTCCACAAACATGCTTGAAGAGTTTTCTATAACGACATCATCTTGATACTGTTAAAATTCAAGCAAGCAGATCACTAATAAGTAAAGGAAACGCAGACAGTATTTCCATGTCTACTATCAAGAGTCCCCTTCTTCCATTTTGGGGTTTATGAAAAGTATGTGGAACTCCTCAGAGCAGCTTTTGGAAACATTACTGAAATTACATAAGATAATAAATTTGGAATATACCTTCTGTAGCACTGGAAATTTGTGGGTAACCAAAAGCAAGT